TAGCTAAAAAAGTTTTTATAGGTGCTGGTCCATGGAAAGCACGAAAGATTAGATATGCTGCAAATTATTGGTTGCTTAACAATAAACTTCCAATGTCTAGACATGGTAAACATCAAAAAACTGTTAGATTAATTGATGATGAAGATGTTGCAGAAAAATGTCAAGTTTGGATTTGTGAAAAAAATTACCATGCAACACCATCTTCTTTTAAAACATTTATTGAACAAAATTTGTTGCCCAACATTGGAATTGCAAAAAAAAAAGATATTTCTTTAAGTACTGCAAAAAGATGGTTAAACATTCTTGGTTACACTTTTAAACTACATCATCAAGGAATGTATTATGATGGACATGAAAGGGAAGATGTTCTGCAATATAGGAAAGTGTTCTTAGAAAAAATGTTTGACCATGAGAAGTATATGTCCAAATATGAAGGTGAAACAATGGATAGAATAATCCCTAACTTACCTGAAGGAGAAAAAGAAAGAATTCTTGTAGTATTTTCTATTCTAATGATGGTAAATGTGGAGTGTGGACCAAGAATGGTGAGATGCCACTGAGAAAAAAGGGAAATGGCAGATCAATTATGGTTAGTGAATTTTTAACAGAAGTTAATGGATGCCTTTGTTTGCAACAAGCTGACATAGAGAAACATCCATATGTACCTGAAGAAGCACAATGTTATTTAAAGCCTGGCATAAATCAAGATGGTTATTGGACAGCAGAACATCTTCTTGAGCAAATCAAATATAAAGCAATCCCTATTTTTGAGGCATTATATCCAGATTGCATAGCTGTATTTGCTTTTGATAATAGTTCTAACCATGCTGTATTCAGAAATGATGCTTTGGTTGCAAAACGAATGAATCTAAAACCAGGTGGCAAGCAACCTGTTATGCGTGATACTTACTTTGGAGAAGATAAACAGCCACAATCAATGGTTTTTCCATCTACACATCCTGATGAGAAACTTAGAAACAAACCTAAGGGCATAAAACAAGTGTTAATAGAAAGAGGAAAATGGTC